TATGGATCTGTATGTACAAATGTATAAAAAAGATGATATCTTTTTCAGCAGACCAGCATGCTGTGTGGTCCTATTATGAGCTATTTGAAGGACAATTCCAGCTTACCAATGCACCCAAAATCGAGCGTTTTGGACCAGAATTGAAAAAGTTATGAGTATTTTCAGAAATCAAAAGTTTCTCTAAACACTAATGAGCCAAATTTCAGTGCTTGTTACAGGTTGTAATTGGATGATTGTGAAGGTTTATTGTTAGTACACTTATCAATATGGACTGTAAAAATACGGAAAAATATGCAGAGTGAAGTTCCCAACGCAGGGAACAAGATGCATATTTTTATTCATTTTTTGCTCTCCTCCTGGCCTCTCAATATCTTTGTGTATCAATAATTTAATTTTCTGCCCAGAAAATATTATCTTTCTTGTAGTGTCATAATCTGAAACCCAATTAATGCATATGACCGTTTTCAGCCAAAGGGCTTTGGATGCCTATCGTGAGCAGGGGTATGAGAATGTACCAGAGCCCATACTACGCACAGCAAGTCCTAAGGAAAGGACATAAGTATACATCTGCCACCTCACAAAAGTTATGAAATTAGTTACAGTTACTGATTGTAGAGAACAGTCGCCATCCTGCCAGAGCTGCTAAGGTTTTGGCTGCACAGCAGGCCGACCAGTCCCCTAACTTCGTGAAGAGCACGTATAATCGCAAGTTAACCCGGTTCGATGACCCCATTCTACCTTTCGAAGACTATGAAAGGACTATGGAGATCATTAACAATCTCTATACGGTTGTTACGCATGGTCAAGGACAAATGGTCGATCGGGATACGAAAAAACTAATCTGCACTTTTGCTTTTGAAGACCTGGAATCAATGACAACTGAACAACGCAATGACCATGAAAAGGATGTTACTACCATCTTAATGGCTACAAAACTATTCAAAAAGTTACCGACTCCATGTAGACCCAAATCCCTCACTGTACCTCCACCCCCTTTTGCACTAGCCTCCACCGTGCCAGCTGGGCGAGACGATTTCACGATGGATCTATCTCGCTCTCTTATGGATCCGACGCTTCCCCGGTGCTTACTTCCTCATGAACCTGCCGACTCAGAGCCTACCTCCCCAATGTCTTCTCCACTCTCATCGCTTGGGTCTTCACCACTCTCCTCGGTCCCACCATCTGATTCCGAGGTTGGTGATTTGGGAGAGCTGATGGATCTCGATTCTTCACCACTTTCATCACTTCCACCATCCGACTCCGAAGATATGGATATGATTGATATGAATATGGAGGCAAGGCATATGATACCTTTAGCGGATTCTGCAAAAGTTGAGGCAAAGAAACGAAAGCCGACTACAAATGGTGCTCTGATCGCAGGGAAAATGTATTGCTTTGGCCAGACTGTGGGGTATTCAAGTGACATCCTCATCTCACCTTATATTCCCGTCAAAGGGTCTTCTAAGCGCCTGTACAAGAGGTTTCTTCACAATCTTCCCGGGTTTGGTGCCCGTATCGGGTCACGTTTCCGCAATTTCTGTGATCAACTTAAGGTTTCTTAATCGCCCGAGAGGAGCTCAACAAACTGAAAGCACCTTCCATGGTTTCGACTTTGAAGTTCCAACCCTCTGGCCCACTCGACTTCGCAGCTAACTTCGCCTTCACCCTCTGTGGTTTCTACAATAAGCCGCATACTGATAACGACAAGGGGAAAGTATACTGTCTTTGGTATCCGATTGACAGTGAGAGTGGGAAGATAGTCACTAAAATCGAAGGTTACTATTATGAAGGTGGCTGGTTTATTTTCCCCGAGTACGGACTCGCCTTCAACTTAGGCTCCAAATATGCAGTACAAATTGCATGGAATGGTAAGACAACTTTCCATCACACTCTACCCTCCAAAGAAAAGGACGATGTGGACCAAGCTGGTAAAAAAATTCATTACACTCGCCTTGGATGTTCATCTCAGATCACACAAAAGATGGCCCGAGCTTGTGCGAAGGCTGGAACTAAAGATCAATTCAACTATCGGTCAAATTGTGAGTGTCATATTCGTGATGCTGAAGACATCCTCAAGCTGAAAGATAGGAAGTGGAAGGAATAGTTTTTGATCTTCTATTTGTAGATCTCTATTAAAATGATAAGTTATATTGAACGATTCCCTTATTTGCTTTGTGATCGGGCCCTTTCCATCTTATTTTTCAGTAAGATGTTCTTGAATATCTTCTATTCCTCGCAAGCTATATCGAAAGTTACTTCACTTCTATTCCTCGCAAGCTATATCAAATGTTACTTCACTTATTATCATAAAACTAAAGGCACGACCGAGTTTCTCGGCGAAACTGGACAAAACCTCTTAAGCCTTAATATGTCCCCATAAGTGCTTAAAATATACATCAAATCCCCCGTCCAACATACTGCATCCTACCAAATCCCCTCGACTTACCCTCCTCCATGATTCTCCAACTCAGCAGAAGATCTGGCTCGTACCGGCCGCTCCAGCGTATGAAGCTATATGTATGTTCTGTTCCTGATACAGATAGTGAAGCATCAAGTAACAAGAGACTAGATGATTCAAGATTACCACCCTCAATTCCAGCTCGAAGAAATTGTTTGTCAGCGCTTTCATCCCTATCTCAAACCTTCAACAAAGTTCTGATCTTCCTAGATCTGCTGTAGTCCTTCAAGATATCTTAAAGGCTCATTTGGTCATGGTTCATTGCAGTTTTCGCAGTTCAACCATGCTCGGTCTGACTCATCGACACCTCTGTCCGAGGGGTGGCTTCGATTTACGAATCCCATGCTCCTGGCTTCGCTGACAGCCTTTGGATCATGGGCACTTGGGATCTTATTACCTCAAAAGGTCATCTCAACCATTCTGTAATTGGCATAAGAATAAACCTACTCACTCGAACCTCGTATCCCTGTTTGCAGTATTTCACAGGTTGTTCAAAATTCATCAACCTCTTTAGTCAAAGAAATACAAGTAAATGTCTGCTAAGTTATGGCCGATTAGAACTCTTGCTAACACGTTATGATATGTACATCTTCGTAGATCAATCGCCCTCAACGCACAACTGAACATTCGACAAAGATCATCATGATTGATGGCTCTTTACCAATACGCACCCAAATGCTAGCATACATCAGAGTTCTACAGAAAGATATCGTTTAAGCCCTCACAGCTCTCGATCCAAGCAATTCATTTCAATAGGATCATTGATATTTGAGAAAGAAGGTGTAAAGGTATCGGGAGTCAGAAGAAGATCAAGTGTTAACCAAGCGACGACTTCATAAATATTGATCGATCGAGAAAGTTACAATGCTCAAGCCACACGCTTCCAACGCGAAGTCGACAGGATCATCATCACTCCTGAAGATCCTACTGATCCTCAATCACGTCAAGTTAAACTTTCATTCCCTGATGATCAAAATATTAGAAACTCTGAGAAACTTGGATTTTTGCTCTCTAGACATTGGAATTGGTATGATTCTATGTTTCATAGTGGTTATGTCGCTGGTAAACTTGGATTATGGTGTGAAAGAGGAAGGAACACTTACAAGGGATGTTTGCTAAGATGGGGTAAGCTTACAAGATTTCTGAGTTATCTGCTTCCACATACTAAATATTCAAGATCGT